TTAAAAATATTTATACACGATTACACTTTTTAAATAATAAATTATCATATTTATTACATTTAAATAAGTTAAAGAGTGGTTAAATCTTTGAACAGGAACAAAACGCAATTAAAATTAAACGAAATAAAATTAAAAAATAAAATAATAATAATATTATTATATTAATATATTTTTTATATTCTAATTTTATTATTATTACTATTTAATTATTATATTAATATATTATGTTTAATTATTTTTCTTTATAATAAATAAAAATTCTTTAAATATGAATTATATTTTATTCGAAACTAAAATTTTATAAAAAAATAATAGAAAAATAAAATAAAAAATTTATACATTATTTTAGAATTGAAAAATCCATAATTTATTTACAATGCTAGTGGTGTACATTATGCACTGTCTTAATTGAAACTGTATATAAAAAGTTTCTTTAAACATATATGTTTTCGACATTTATTGGAAAATGCTAACCCAAGACATCTTAGAATATATGTTCATAAGTGTCGTATTTAATGATACACATGACCATCGTTTCATATGATGTATAATTATTATTACAATATTACTAATATGGAATAAATATATAAAAAAAGAATTATGCAGTTAATGTAATGTTCTGTGTCATATACGTATTAATGGAAATAATTAAAATAGAATTTAGTACTTCGTATAGAACTTTAGAAAATTAAAATGCCCTGTTTCTACGTTGGTTATGGCTTAAATTGATGTACATAATAATGACATTGAAAATGTATCGTACTAGCCATCATTACATACTAAAATGTTGTGTACATAATGGACTGTTTCTATGTTGGTGATGGAAAAAAAAGGTCTAATAGTTATTCTACTTACTGTAATGCAAATTACAAATAATGAATTAATTGTACAACTGTGTTGTCTTTGTTAACTATAAAATTTGTACAAAAATTACTAACTTTCTATGTTGTTGTGCCATACACCAATGTACATTCTGACATTTGGATAAACCAATGTTCTTCGTCATTGCATAAACCAACAACCCTTATCCTACTTTTACACTTGTAATAAAGCCCACAAACATACGCATTTCATACAAGGTTCAATCCCACCATTCCATGAACTTAATAATTATGGTGATAATCAGTACTTTGCCTATATGACATATCATACATTTCACAAGGAGCCAATTAAATAAACCCCAAAATATGTTAACATATGTAACAAAACCATCCCAATGGTTATATGCACAAAGATTTTTGTACAATACAAAACAACTTTACACAAACTTTCACAAAAACCTGGACTTTGGTCGTCCATGAGGAAGAACAAATTAACCTTTAGTTGCATTTTTCTTCAAATTATTCATCGTTGATTTTCTTTATAGTAAAACCCTAAAATATGAGGTCCAAAGCTTGGCCGTTAATGTTCACGTTCAGTATTCCTCCTTCTGCTTCTTTTACACGACTTGCAATAACTGTCAAGAAGGTGGATGGTTGTAGGTGACTTCTTTAAACTGCATGTCAGCTGAAACACTATAAACAAATAAATCTAAATCTACTATAGCAACTTCGTATGAAATTACATTGATGTCTTTCACTAAATACATTCTCAATTCGAGAGCCAAGACTATCAACATCGGTTCGGTGGATATTTGCTTTAAAAAGTGAATTTCATATATTACATCTTTTTTCACATCGGTCCTGACCTTCACCAGATGTAGAATTGAATTTTTTATATATAATTTTCTACTTTCTGCATTGGTTTTCTACATAACTGATGTTAAAACTTATTTCTTCCAAAACTTTACTTTCTATATCGGATGTTTAATCTAACCGATGTATATAGTATATAACCCATAAATCTATCCCTACTTTCTACATTGAATCTCTAGAACCCGGTGTTGTTTTTTCTCTTTAACCTTACTTTATACACTGCTAATCCTAGATAGAGTTATATAAAGTACCCTTTTAATTTAAGATAATGTACGCCGTAAACTCTCCACACTTGTTCATCAAATACTCTCTAAGTGGGGGTTTCCAAAAATTATAAATCAAAATCCTAACATCTTGTAATGTTTTTCTGTATACAATTCTCCACATAACAAATACTTTATGGTGCTCAACTACATAGTGTACATTATTTAGGGTTTAGGGTTTAGTGGACATCCACCTTAAAAAGTGAATTTCATAGATTACATCTTTTTTCACATTGGTTCTGACCTTCACCAGATGTAGAATTGATTTTTTTTTAAAAATAATTCGTCACTTTCTGCATTAGCTTTCTACGTAACTGATGTTGAAACTTATTTTTTCCAAAACGTTACTTTTTATATCGGATGTTTAATCTAACCGATGTACACAGTATATGACCTATAAATATATCCTTACTTTCTACATTGAATCTCCAGAACCCGATGTTATTTTTTCTCTTTAACCTTACTTTATACACTGCTAATCCCAGACAGAGTTGTATAAAGTACCCTTTTTTAATTTAAGATAATGTACCCCGTAAACTCTCAACACTTGTTCATCAAATACTCTCCAAGTGGGGTTTCCAAAAATTATAAACCAAAATCCTAACATCTTGTAATGTTTTTTTGTATACAATTCTCAACATAACAAATGCTTTATGATGCTCAACTGCTTAGTATACAGTAAATAGTGACCAAATTCTATCACGTTTCAATGAGGAGAATAAAAGAGAAATGGATACAGGGCAACAAAAGGTAGAAGACAACAAAGCACGAATACAAACGTGTATATTAAATTACCAATTTATCCTTTTCAAACATGTAACTTTTATAATCAATTTTCTGTGTTTCATTTTATACCATCTAATTTTAATCAACAATCCACATTATTTACAAGCTTTTGAAAAAGTTTACTTTTACAACGAAAAAGGATCGAAAAATCACCTAATTTTACCTATTCAAGCTTTATGTCAACTCAAAAAGATTACTTTCTTAAGTTTTATACTTAATATGTTCAAACAATGATGTAAGAGAAAATACTTTAGATTAAATAAGGAATAGAAACTTCACCTCTCTAATCTCTAATCTTGTTATATTGTTTGTATCTTAGAAATTTATATAAAAAAAAATACAGAACTTAACTATAATGTAATAGACCTGCTAGTATTATTGTCCAATTATAATAAAATTTCAAGATTATAGATGCAAGATATAATAATTATAATTAATTTCTTAAAAATCACAAATGTTAATTTGTATTTAGTCTTTATTTTTTTATTCTTTCACTCATTATATATCTATTAAAGAGAATTAAGATCTTTTGAAACATGTTAAACTTTAATAATTATATTTCTTAATAACTTTTTATAAGAATGAAATTAATTTAAGTGTTAGTTTTAAAGTTAATATCAAGTAGATTAATTTTATATGATAAAAAATTAATAGATAATTTACTATATAATTTTATTTTAACAAATAATATATTTTTAAATATTAAATTATTTAAAATTTAAAATATATAAAAAATTTAATATAAATGATTTAATAGTTAAATTAATTGATTTTATATTTTATAAAAATTATTAAATAATATAAATATTAAATATAAATGTGCACGCATATGTAATACCTAAATTATAATTATTATATTTTAAGTTTAATTATGTTTTCAGTCTCAAGTATTTTTTTTTGAATAATTTTTTTAAAAAAATTATGAAAATTTAAATGATGAATTAGATAATAAAAGTCTCTAACATTTTAAAAATATAAGAATTTAATTTCTATATCAATTAGAATATGTTAAATGACGAGTCAAATAACAAAAGTCTAATTCATCAATAACACGTTATAATTATTTTTAATATTTTATTATTTAAATATTAATATTTAAAAAAATCTAAAAAATATTTTATTTATTTTGAAAAAGTCCCTAAGCGACTCCTCTCATCATGACAGCACTTACCCGTCGAATTCATAAGAGAACAAATTGGATTATCTATTCCTTCTTTCATTATAGTAATTCTTTCGGTGTCTTTATGATCTGTAAATAGTGACCATACAAAATAATAACATCAAGTTTAGGAAGCGAGAGTTTGCTGACGAATCAGAAATGGAAATCTCCAAATTAAGAAAACAAAATTTATATGGATGAAACATGAACAAGCCAAAATCTAACCAAGGTTGAGATAGGAGAATTTTTATTTTTTAAGAACATTTTTAAAATATTAACTTTTAAATAACTAAATATTTAAAATAATTAAATGACATGATAGTAATGAATTGAATTTTTACTACTCAACTCATCACTTAATAGAATAAAGTTGATAATAAAAACTAATTCTTTACATTTTTAAAATGTCAAAAATTAAATTTTAATAATTTTTTAAAAGAAATTATTCCAAAAAGCATTATCCAAAAATATAATTAAGCCCATATTTTAACATGCATTTAGATGGGAGATGAATTGGCCTAAAGCTCCAGAAGAAAAAGTGGTATCAAGCCAAGTTTGTGTGCATGACATTTAATTGTATGTGTAGTTATAGGGTGAAAATTAGTTCTTTCCTCGCGTGCTTTCTAATCACGTAAATGTGTCGCGTCTTTTGCCTACTAAATAAAAGAATCTCTTTTATTTGAAAATAAAAATAACTAATATTAACAATAATATTATTTTATCACTGGATTACCAAACACCCTGTTCAATTATAGCATAATTGCTTTTTAATTTGTATAAGGTGTCTGATATAGACATCAAAACCAAATGTTAAAATAGCATTGCTCCTAATATTAATTATTAAATCTTATGCAAATTAACTAACAAAACCCACAAGTTATGTAACTTTTGAATTTAGCAATGCATTTTGAACTACTAAAGAAATGGGCTAAATATATAATCAACTTGAGCTCAATTCTTTAACTTGTGAACCTAACTTATTGAACTACTAAAGAAATGAAGTCATAAATGGTTTACCAAGTAGCTTAACTCCTTGTTCTGGCGAGAATGATATAATAGATTCATGGGAAGGAAGACTTGGAGGATATTGATATGTTCATATGAACCAAACAGGTAACTTTTTGATATTCAACATTTCATTCTATAGCTTTTTCATAGTTACCAAATAAACTTTCCTCCCTTGCATGCCAGCAGTTTTCTACTAATTGCATGAGATTCCAGTGAAAGAAGGAACAAAAATGTGCATAACAGAACATCAAAAAATACAGTATGACATCCTTCATAGAGTAAATTCAAGTCAACTAAGTTTCTATTGTAAATCTTACCCTGCGATGTTTCTTTCTGTTTTCCTGTCTAGAGGAATTGGATTTTTTCAGACACGATTTCAGTGGCGGCCCTATGTGTTTGCTTGACATGAGAGCACAACAATTGAATCCTCTTCTTTTGTGCTCAAAAGGATCAAGCCAAAACCGGACATTACCCTCACCAAACCAGGCCCTCTTTTTGGCATATAGATATGCAACACTTGCATCTGTTTCTTCTAAAAAAACTAGCTGGGCAGAGCCAGTGTAGTAAGAGACTCTTGTTTTAGAGGAATTTATTGAGCCAAATACTCTAAACTTCTTTATTAGCTGTTCCTTGGATGGTAGGTTGAAATTCTTGGGGAACTTCATGTACAAAGACGTAGAACAAATGGGTACATGTGTTTTAGGCTGTTGTCCAACTTTTGAATTGTATATTGAACAAGAAGCGACACCTTGGTAGCAATCCTTACCCTCCACCAAATGATCCCAACAAGATAATTTAATTTTCGTGGACTCTTTCAACTCGAGAGGTGCTGTATCACCATCGCAACTCATTTGCAACCTTTCTTGGTAAACTGAAGAGTTAGTCCCTAATAAACCTTTACCCTTATCTGCACCAGCATCAACCTCACAGTTATCAGAATGGAAGGCAAGTACCAAGTTAGCTGAGGATTTGCAGGTAAAAGGCTGCTGTATAGTCAATTGTTGACCTCTTCTCAAATCCATTTTCTGAACCTCATCAGTGCAATTCATGTTAGTTTCAGAAAAACATGTGTCAGCCAGATTGTCTTTCTGGATAGTTCCTTCTGGTTCAAGCATCCTGATGGTTGAGACCCAAGGTCTGGTATATTTTGATATATATGCATTCCCTTCATTTTCTTGAACTCTGCCTATTTGCGGAGTAACATGACATGAAGCAGCTTTATGTAGTCGCCTTTTTTTATTGTTAAGGTATATAGTGGTTTCTTTGTCAGGCAATCTGCAGTAACGCCCCAGTGCATTGTCTTTTCTTTTATTGGTACAGTTGCTCAAATGACCCTTCAAATTGGAGGGAACAGAGATGGGAGTTTTACTCATCATAGAATGTTTTCCAAAGCAGATATCAACCATACCTTCTCCCACCACGTGAAGTGGATGTAGAGCAGGAGGGAGCTTAAGATTCTTGGAAATAATCAGAAATTTATTCTTAAACAAGTTTCTTTCCAAAACAGGAACAGTTGACTTCAATCTCCTCTTAGCAACAACAGGCAACCTTGTTTCCACGTGTTTGGATATGATCTGACATTTTCCCATGTGTTCCAAAGCGACAGATTCTTGAGTAACAGAGTGCGTCTTCTGATCAAAAGATGAACATGGATACAGCTTCACATTAGCACCTATCAACACAAAAAAAATATTGATAAAATTTACATAATAACTAGTTAATCAAGATATGGCCTCAGTAGTTCAGTAAAGTGGATGCAAAGTGAGACAAATGGAATGAGGCGTGGTAACTGGGCCAGTTACCCACCACTGGAACAGGCAACATAGTTATTTCAGCAGAATTTTCTATATTGAAGATACTAATCAATAATCATATGGGACTAGCAGCTTAGTTATGTCAACAAAATGGTAAGCCTCAACTCAGCAAATTCATATAGTAGAAAACTTGTCATATTCATTTCAAATTACAAACGATAGTCACCAAATAAAAGGACAGTGAATTTTAATTTAAAAAAAAAAAAAAACTAGAAGACTTGTCTAGAAAAAAATTAAAATGAGATCCCAAATTAAAGAATTGTAAATTTTTAAAAGGCTAAAAACTCATATACTTAAGTGAAAGATTATTATTTATAGCTCAAGATCATATATATTTATTGATATAAAACTTATTGATTTGGTAAATATATAAATCAATGAAAAATTATTATTATTATTATTATTATTATTATTATAGTTAATAAAATACTAAAAATAATTAATGTATAACAAAGACTTTTTATGATGGTTGAATAAAAGACTAGAAACACTTAAATATTTTTTTATAGATAAAATATTTAAATGATAAAAACAGTATATTAATAGGACTTTGAATCAATACAATAAAAATTACTTACTTCTCATAGTCATCATAGTTGATCAACTCATATAATAAAGTTTATTTTTTAAAATTTAAATAACAGTATAATTTTATGTGTTAAATATAAGAAACATTTCATTTCTTATAAAAATTATTTTTTAAAAGTTTTATAAAAATTAATATATCATATAAAATGTATATTATATAAATTGAGAAATTACATATAAAAAATTATAATAAAAATATTAATGTTAATATAATATTTTATTTATTCTTTTAAAATAAAATAAAATATAGAATTAAGTAAAATTCTTTATTAATATAAGACTGAGTTATAATACTAAGAAATCCTTATAATGCTGCAAACCGAAATATAATAAAGAATTTAAGCATTCGTACATGTGGATTAAAACAAAGCATTTACACAGATTAATGAAACGTAACTTTTTAAAAATATATCTTAATTCGTAAATGAGTGTGAAGCAGAGAAACCAAAGGTATAATCTAATCGATGTAAAAACTAAAAGCAAAAAGAAGAAAAGTACCTGTTTTCAGGGTTTGTCTGTACATTTTCTTGTGTTGAAGAGAAGAATAAGCACGAAAAGCGTGAACCTGGGCAACAACCCTAACTGCATGAGCAAACCGAGGGGCTTCTACCCAGGGCGAAACGGCGGCATCCAAAACAAAACCCAAGACCTCAACCGGGTCGAACTCGGAGGAATGACCCGACCCGTCAGGGGCCCGTTGGGCTTGGCGGTGGCCCACCAGGCAGCAACAGCGCAAGCTGGAAATGACTTTTTGGCCAAACAGGCGGAGCGCTGAATGAAGCAACGCGTCACCGTTTGTTGTGCGGCGACGAGGCATGAGAGAAGGGAAGGCTTCCTCGAAAGGAACAACCTCGGATTCAAGGTAATAGGTGGTTTTGGTTGAGAAGACGTGGTCGTTTTGGTCGGAGAAGGGGAAAGAGACGGAGACGCCGAGGTCGTCGGAAGTGAGAACGAGTGCGGGAGACCATGCGTGAGGGAAGTGAACTCTTGCCCACACTATGTCCCCTTTCTTCACCCTGTAACCATTGCTATCGCCACTTCCCATCTTCTTACTCCACTTTCATCACTGTGATATGCATACAATTCTCCAATTCATCTTTTCTTCTTTCAATTTGTTATTTGTGGGACCAATATTTTGGCGCCCAATTCGTTTTCCCTCTCCTTGCTAGGGTTTCTTTATTCATTAAAATTAAAATAAAAAAACCATTATAAAAGTGAGTTTGTTTATAAAATTAAAAAAATTAAGAGCATGTTAGTCTGTAATTATTTTCTAATTTATTTTAAGAATTAAATATAAAAAAATTATCATTGTAATCTAAAAAATATCATTATTAGTAATTCAATAAAAATTCACTCAATGAATTTAACAATTTAAATTAATTTCCTTTACATCAAAATAAATTAAAATTAGCTATTAATTTTCAAAATAAAAATTTAAAATTTATTTTATTTTGGAAAGTTTCAAAACTTTAAATTAATGATTTTATCGAATTAAACTTTAATTTTCAAATTTATAACTTTTCAACTTGGACTATGAATTGAACAAAACAATTAAAAATTTTACAGAATTTAAATTTTAAAATAAATGAAAATAGACTTACTAAAAACATTGAGAATTGAACTTTAATTTTTAAACTTATAAGTTTTCAATTTTGGATTATGAATTGGACAAAACAGTTAAAAATTTTAGAAAATTTAAAATATAAAGTAATTTAAATTGTAGCATTTTACATTATTTTGTTTGGATAAAATATTTAAATTTATTTTTTTATTCTTTTGTTTGTTTGTACATAATAATTCAATTTGTTTGGATTAAAGAACTATTAATCATGAACTATTTATCTACTCAAAGAATTTCAAAGTAAGTGTTGATTGAAGATTTGTAAGAAATTTAAATATACCTACAATTGTCTAGTACAAAAACATTGAGAATGAAAGGTAAAATTATAGAGAACTAGATTATTGAGAACAAAAATAAAAGATATATTAGATAAAACTTGTGAAAAGAATGACAAGTCAAGAAAAGTCAAAGTAAAAATCATAGAAGCAAAAGAGAAGCAGCATTGAAGCAAAAAGTAAATTATAATACTTGGAACATGAAAGTTGAAAAGATTTTAAAAACTCACTTGTTTTTCATTATTTCAAATTCTCTAAACTCAAGTATTGAAATACTATTAGATTTTTATTTGTAATTTAAAATTTTTAGTTATTAAATATCCAAACAAACTATTTTAATTAAAAGTACTTAAAATCCTTACAAAATTTACTTTATCTCATTAAAATCTTTCGTCTAAATACACTTTTACAGTTTATAATTAACCAACGTTTAGATTAAAAAAAAGAGAACGAAAATCAAAAAATATAAATTGAAGAAAAATAAAATGAGACAACAAAAATTAAATTTTTAAAAGTTTTTTTTATTTTTCTTTAATTAAATACAAATATATTACTATTTATATTTTTTCTATTTTATTTTCTCTTATCTAAACAAAAAAAACTTGATTGAATAGACATTATTTGTTTTTCTTATGGAAACAAATTTTTGAGCCACCAAAACATTAAACAAATAGGCTCTAAGCATGTATAAGTTTTATTTGAAGTGAAATTATTTGAAGAACATTCTTCTAAAAATCATTGAATAAGATAAAGATTAATGATCGTATTAGAAGTGTTTTAAAAAATAAGTGCTAACTGACTTTCTAATAAAGGAAAATTCATAACTATGACAACAATGATAAAAGTGATGAAAGCAACATAGCTAAGAGCGTAAAAAAATTATTCCCATGGCATAGGCATCACTAAAAGTAGTCCCTCCTAGTAAGTGATACCAACAAGAACATAATTCAAAGGCAGGAAGACCTAAATACCTCCCAAAAGAATGAAAAATGACCTTAATCTCTAAAACATGACAAAGAAGACCAAGGCAACAACAACTAACGACATGAATGCTATGAAGCTAGTTAGAGTTGTTAGTTAGCCACCAAAGCACACTCCTAGCAGAGGCATAAAGATGAAAGAGGAAGCAAATAAAGAAAAGGTGATAAATTTATATTTTTGTATGCTTTTATAGCCTATATATTTATGTGAAACCATTATTTTAATTGAGTTTTACAATAATTTATATATTAATTGTGTAAATTAATATGAGAATGTCACAATTGAGTTTTTGGTGCATTTTTTGTGCATTTTAGGCCAAAATTAGTTGGAAAATAGGACTTCACCAGTCAACACGTCTAGACTCTGATATTTAGCATGAGAGTGCTTCGACCACATGAATAGTCATACTTATGACCTTCCACAGTCATGCTCACTTGTGTAAAGTTCAAACCTTAAGCAATTTTAGGATTTTTAAACTCTATAAAAAAGACCTTAGGGAGAGCGACTTAGGCATACTATTTTTATCTCATTCTTTTTACACCTTTTATACATCTCTTTTACATCTTTAATCTTGGTGTTAACTAGTTGCTGATAACTATTGGAGCTTTGAGAGTGTGTCTTGGGATCAAGGGCTTTTATCTTCTCTTCTCCATTGAGCACTCTTCTATTTTGCATTTACTTTTCAAGTTCTATGAATTTGTTTAGTATTATTTTGGCTTTCTTTTATATGATGTCTAGCCATAGATAAGGCTATGGTGAATTCTTTGCATGACTTTATGGGATCTTTATAATTAATAATAATTTCATGTTTCCTTTCTTGATTGGTGTTTCCCTTATTGTGCTATATTTGTATGTTCAGAATTGACAACTCTTAAATATACCCTAATTAATTATATTGTAGGCGATCGTACCACGTAGTTAATGGATCTATAGGATAAAATAAGACAAATAATTAGGTGGATCAAACTTAGTTTTTCTCTTTCAATTGTTATTAAATTAACAACTCATAGACTCTTTATATTTTCTCTTCCTTTTACCTTATATAATCATTGGAGGTAATAACTCAGGGAAAAGATTTTTAACATTGCATGATCATTAGGTGTTAATAGATTTAGTATGAATGATTAACAATCATTGGAAAACTGAAATTAGAATTACTCTAAAAGAAAACATAAAAAATTGTAAAGGTCAAACTGTAACACCCCAAATTTTTTCACCTTGGTTTCTCTAGGAAAATGTGAAATTTTTTTTCAGTCAACATGTACCTTTTAGCATAGGAATTATTTAATTTCTGCCCAAAATACTAGGAAACTTTTTTTGAAATCAATAGAGCTATATACATATTTTCTTTCTCATCATCTTGTCTTTCTAAATACTCATTCTGTGTGTACATATTTTGGCATAACATGCAAATTAGATACATTCTTCCCTTTTATTTTTGTTTTCTAAAAGCTTTGTCACCATGCATGTAAGTTGGGTCGGTCTCCAATTTTCAATCTTAAGTTTTCATACCTTCTCACATGCTAGTTGAACGTAGACTAAAAAAACTCTCTTCAAACATTCTGCAACGTCAGGAACACATAGGGACCTTTACTCTTTGCTACACATATAGCATTTTTCCTCACCTAGCTTTGGTTAACTCGCTAAATGATACTACAAGAAGTAATTAAGTAGGGAAAACGAATTTCCTGAATCTATTCCTAAAGTTATAATATGTGTGAGTTCGACTAAATTCTCAGGGTTTTACCTAATAGACTACTTGAATTAGATTTCAATTAAATTGCCCATGTAAGCCCCAATGTCACATAAATAAATTATGCTTCAATAGTTAGGATACAATCATAAAAGGTAGCATCTTAAGATTAGTTAGGTGTCTACAAGAAGTTTCCTTGATTCCAAACTTAACACTAACTAGAGGGTATTTAGGATACATGACATAATTTGATTAAGCCTCTCGCCATATCACAACATAAAAGTGCAGCAACTACTTTGTCACTATCACGACCCCTTTTTATAAAGGACTGACAACATTATTTATACACCACTTACTTATTTAATATGGATAAATAATAGAGAATATAAATATAAAATTTACTTTTGATTCAAAATAAATAAAGTTTATTACAACAAATATCTAACAGAACAACATAATATTACATTTAGTTCATAATACTCAAAATACATAAAAATTATACTACATAGCTCTATCTATATGAGATCTCAAAATATAAGAAAATAATACTTTAATGCAACCTTTTAACACTTATCTACTGGCCCCTTAGCTTGTGAAATAGATGCAACACTTGCTACATCTGCTCACATACCATAGTACGATCATTGCAGTATACACGCACACAACAGTATAGATAGAAATGCAAGGATGAGCTTACAAAAGAAAATTCTTATATAGAGAGCAAATTATTACTCACAGTAACAGCTCTATGCATTCCCAGCCCATCTAATGCACAGCATGAAAATGATTTCCAACTGGTTTCACAGCCTAAGTATTCCAAAAGGAACTGAGCCAGTCTGGGAGCGACCCATTTCGATATCTAGATTCAAACAACACAGCTCAGCATGCTCTATCGTTACACGTCTACCTAACTAAACATGTAACTCAGCTCTATAATGATGCAAGACATATATCTCAATATGATGTAACACAGACAAAATCATATTCTTAACAGCTCAACGCAATTAAAATAATTCATAATATTTCAGCTAAATATCAGCATTTTAAATCAATTAACAACAGTTATAGCATAGAAAAGGGCTTTTATCCAAGAAATCTGACAAAATCATCTCAAAACTTCTTATAATAGCATACTAAATCATTCCAAACATCATTTAATAGTTAAAGTAAGCTCCCTTTACCTTAGAACAACAATTCATACCAGATCTACCCAATATTATTTGTTTTACAGCAAGATACACCAAAGATTTAGCTTTACAACGAAGTTTCTCCTAAGATATCATCAACTATCTATAAGAAAGAGAAGAAGAAGGAAAACGAACGGTAAATCTAATTTCAAACTTATAAAAACTTATTTCAAATCTCTCAGAACAGACGTAGAATCTCAAATTTGGTGAGAAATATAGGTTTATGAAAGTTTAGTATGAGAGAAAATAGTGGTATATGACCTTAGGTATCTCTAGAACCTTTGAGAAGTGTAAAAGAATGAAAATTTCGTGCAAGGCCCCTATTTATAGGCAAGAA